AAATGTTGGTGTGAGTTTGTTTATTTTATTTTATTATTTCTTTCCTAACTTTGATCAATGTATTATTCAAACATTAAATTCAACCACTTCTCATTATGCTCTCAATCCTTAGAGCCTTTGGCAGGTGAGGAATGTAACGTCCCGACTTTTTCAACATTTATATCAACGGGTTGTTACTAAGGAATAGTACCAAAACTAATTCAATTATCAAATCAACTTTATTTATATATATATATATATATATATATATATATATATATATATATATATTTTAGCAATTCTAGGTTGAGCGACCTGTTGAGATTTTTTCTTCTTCTATATGGGAGTAGGAACGAAATATGCTAAAAGAACTCATGTTGGTATAAGAGTTGAATGGTATAGGTCATTCTCGTTACCATTGTTATCAGATAGAAATCTTTCCTAGAAAAAAGTGGTTTGGGGACTAATAAAAGCGGAAGTTGATGGGTATATGATGCTTGAGTAAGAAAGAGATACATGAATGAATTAATACCACATCCGAACGAGATGTGATGGTTAAGAAAAGCTTAAAAAAAATTAAAAATTACTACCCGGAGTAAAAGAATACTTTTCTTTTTTAGTGGCTCAATCAAATGAATTTGAGAATTAAGCATGTTTAGCATTGAATCGCTGAAGATGTCAAATGTCTCAACTAGGTGAAGAGCTAAACTCGTGTCAGTGTTTTTACTAAATTATCCCACCAATACAAAAATTCTTAATCTCGTTTTTTAATATTTGCAAGTGACTATATCAATTTGTATGAACCTCGACTATTTTTACGGGACGTGGGTCCGATTGAGATATAAAAGTGGTGGAGTGGGTAAAAAAAAAAAAAAGGAAATGGCTGCACTTGGTGGCTGCATTACATCATTGAAAATTCTGACAACATAGACTTTAGTGCTTTATTATTATGTCTTTCCTAAAAGTAGTTTGTATTGTAACATTATACTTACTACTTTTTCAAGGTTTTCACAAAAATAGATTACTATAAGGTATGTTACTTTTATACTTACATATAATCTACAAATCTTTTCAATTTAGAGTTTTTTTTTTTCTTTTTTCAATTTGAATTAGATCGAACATTTGGAAAACAAAAAATTTGGTTCTAATTTACTTGTAACCGTACCCGATTCTACGTTCAAAAAGATTAAGAATATGTAATATTTGTAACTGATACTGAGACTTATATTTAAAACTTCCGAGATTTTAGTTACTAAAGTAACATGTGATGTGGATAAACCTTTTTTTATAAAAAAAAAATAATGAAGATTTGAGAAGAATGATACCACTTATCACAATCGCATTTTGACAATCGCACTTTGACGGCAGCGAACTTATCACAATCGCACTTTGACAGCAGCGAACTTACAATTGTGCGGCACTCACTTTCCAGCAACAAATGAGTTAAGCCTATTGGTTCTTAGGTCGCCTACGGCCAAGCAACGGCAGCAAACTTGCGATTGTGCAACACTCAATTTCCAGCAACAAGTGAGTTAAACCTATTCGTTCTTGCGTCGCCTACGGCCAAGCAACGACAGCAAACTTGCGATTGTGCGCCACTCAATTTCCAACAACAAGTGAGTTAAGCCTATTCGTTCTTGCGTCGTCTACGGCCAAGCAACGACAGCAAACTTGCGATTGTGCGCCACTCAATTTCCAACAACAAGTGAGTTAAGTCTATTCGCTCTTGCATCGCCTATAGCCAAGTGACGTATGCTTGAGCGTTTAGCCCCAGTTCAAGAACAAAGTTTTAGAAAACGGGGCAGAATTTTGAAAGCAAGATTTGAAAAACTAAAGTTGGTGTTATAAGGAAATGTAAGCAAAAGGCAACAACAACAGCTTACTCAAATTGCTCGGAGTCACCAACCAACCCCTAAATTCACTTGACAAATCCATTTAACCTCCTGAAAATTTATTGCTCAGAAGTATTTCATTCATAAAGTCAGAACTAAAATCTCAAAACCTATATCCACCTCTACCTACATTATTATTTAAATTCAATGAACTTTTATAGATATCATAATCAAATCATTTAAATTTGCAAGACAAAAATAAATATTTCACCAAAGCTATGAGGAAAAGAAAAGGGGCCTGGTCTACAAAGTGTCCGAAGAACGAATCTTCAAGCCTTCAAAATTGTTGACTGTCCCCTGGTGAGCCCAAGCAATTGATAAATGGTCCACAGATCACTAAAAACTATGCACAAATTACCAGTAACAAGAACATAATTAATATGTTCAGACCAGACCATGTTTCAGACTGAATTTAGCATGCATTAATGCCTAATGGGGAGGACCCCATTTGGAGTACCATCATAGAAGTCACACCAATCAGTAGTAGTGTGGCTAGGTCTATACTTCATACATGTTCGGTCAATGCATTAGCTATACCTTATGCAATATTAAATCCTAAATAGATAGTGACCATGACTTAAATTCAGGTAGATGGACCCTTTTCCACTTAAGACCAAACCATGATGGTTAACTCGATTTCTACTTTAGTCTGTACATTTATAAAGTGATACCATTAGGACCAAACCTTATATGATATTAAATCCTAAATAGACCTAAATACATAGTGACCATGACTTGAATTCATTTCTACCTGATAGACCCTTTTCCGCTAGACCAAACCATGAGATGGTTTAACTCGATTTCTACTTTAATCCGTACATATAAAAGTGAAACCGTATATGATATTAAATCCCAAATAGATAGTAACCATGAGACCTTAATTCATTTCTTCTAAGTCCTTTAAGGTAGATGGACCATTTCCCGCTAGACCAAACTATGATGGTCAACTCGATTTCAACTCTAATCCGCACATTTTATAAAGCAAATACCATTAGGGGGGAAAGAGGAAGGAACGAGAGGAAAACAAGAATACTCAGACAAATGAAACACACTAACTTAATCTTCAAAATTAGTCAGCATTGTGGTAGCCTAAGTTCAACAATCAACACGACGTTCAAGGAAATAATGAACTAGGGACAGAAGTTCAAAGTTCTTTCTTTTATATAAGCAAATCCAGCAACCATATTCTATCCATTAAACATTCTCTAATGGGAGAGGCAGGAGAGGCAAAATTTCGCCATTTAGCGGTACTGCAAGAAGAGTTGAGGGGTTCAACAGGGTCAGAAGACATTGAAAAAGTCTTGATATGAATTTACTTCAAAATAAACAAGAATGTAAAATTTTTACCTTGATGAATCCAATTTCCTTGGCGTTGCTGCGGAAGCACTGTCTGCAGCACATAAGGCCGTACTTTCTGATCAACCCATGAGGATTTCCGCACACCCGGCTGAAAGACAAGACAAATAGAGACCACATTTTAATTCAAACAAAAGATACCTTCATATCATTGTTCTGAATAAATGTAAACCCAATCAAATGTTTCTATGTATCCAAAATTTATAACTCTCAATCATGGAAACCTATGCAGCATCTTATTAATCCTTTCAGTCATTGTTACCTTTTAGTTCATATCATTGTTCTGAATAAATTTTAACCCAACATTAGATGTTAACCCTTTCCTTCATATCATTGTTATAAATAAATGTTAACCCAACCAAGTGTATCTATGTATCCAAAATTTCTAAATCTCAATCATGGAAACCTATGGAGCATCTTATCTATCATTTTATTCATCCCATTATCCAACTGTACTTACCGTCTAGTTCATCCAATAGTCACAGACAGCTTAAGTGAGCAAATACTAAGAACTCCTTACCGTTTCATCAACATTAAAACTATGACCCAGAATAACCTACACATAAAATGATTTGACCATGGACATAACCAGAATCGAGACAAGTTCTCATGCCTAATCAATTTAACCAGACAGTACAAATAGATAGAAGAACATTTGGGAACTATTCTACAATAACTTCACTTAATTGCCCACCATGGCACAAATTATAGTCGACACAAATATTTTTCAGCACGAACGTATAGAGATAAATCAGTCCTTGTGCTTGTTTCCAACTATTACTACTTCAAGCTGTGTCCAACTCAAAAGTAAAAACCAATCACATAATTCATCTCTCAAGTCAAAATACCCCATCAGATTAACAAAACATCCGAATTCCACTCTGTAATCCAAATAATTAACCACGTTCTTCGAGAAAAAGAAGAATTCGGATGCAGCAGATAAGAAAAAATCAACTAAATCAAATCGAAATCATCTCAAAAGAGAAACAGAGAAAAGGAAAACAAGTTACCAGGTGCGAGAGCCGGGACCATAGCTCTTAGGGTGCGAGTTCCAGACGTTCGAGTGCCCCATGATTGAATCGCCTACGAGACGGAAACCTGTTGAGCTCGTTAGGGCTTCAAAAATTCCAAGAAGCGGCAAAATCCTTCTGACGAACTATCGTTAGTAGGAAAAGTAAGTATTTATAGCGGCGATCAGAGACGAAACCCTAGCGGGTACCGAAAATAATTGAATATAATTTCCAAATTTTAAAATAATTTTGATTCAATTAAAACAATAATTATATTTGTATTTATAAAAATGAATTAATCTATAATATTAAATACTATATTTATTAATATTTCAAAATTACTTTTTAAAAAAATTAAATTTATTATCTTATAAATTAATTATTTTTTAATTAATTTATTAACTAAAAAGGCATTAATTAATTAAATTAATTAATAGTTGTTTATATTTGACCTAATATTTGGCTAGTAGTTGCAAATGGTTTTAAAATTATTTTTATTGTTATTTTTTATTCTAAAAATTTATTTAGTTAAAAATCCTTTACCCAAAAATTTGGAGAGACCGGAGTTTGTTAGGAATCATGAATCTTAACGATGGTAACTTTTTCAAATGGTAACTTTTCAATCTTAACAATGGAGTTTGTTAGTACAAACTCTAGTGACTTTGTTTTGGACTTTTCCAATAGAAATAATATTTCTCATTTGTGAATCCACGATCTTCCCAATTATCCTCGAGGAAGTCAACCGATTGCCTTAATCAACAAATTCCAAAATCCCAGAGATTCTTCTTTATTTCTCTCTCCCTTGTCCTTAATTCATTCAACCCATTCCCATTGGCCAAGAACAGCACAGATTTAGGTTCATTTCCCTGCAATTTCCAGCGGATCTCGTTCATATTCCCAATTCCGTTTGATTTTTGTGGTGTTTCTTCATCTCTGAGAACAGCCCTGTCCTGTCCATGGGCGACGAGAGGGCTAATATTACTCCAAAACTAACGATTCTTCCTCTCATCGCTTTGATTTTCTACGACGTTTCAGGAGGACCCTTCGGAGTGGAGGATTCCGTGAGCACTGGCGGTGGTCCGCTTCTAGCTTTGCTAGGTTTCTTACTGTTTCCCTTTATTTGGAGTATTCCGGAGGCGTTGGTCACGGCGGAGCTCGCCACAAGCTTCCCCCAAAACGGCGGATATGTGGTCTGGATTTCGGCAGCTTTTGGCCCGTTTTGGGGGTTTCAAGAGGGCTTCTGGAAATGGTTCAGTGGGGTAATGGATAATGCTCTGTATCCTGTACTGTTTCTTGATTACTTGAAGCGTTCGTTTCCTGTTTTTAGCCATATATTTGCTCGAATTCCAGCTCTGTTAGGAATCACTGCTTCTTTAACTTACTTGAACTATCGTGGTCTGCATATTGTTGGGTTTTCTGCTGTTGTTCTTGCTGTGTTTTCGCTTTGTCCTTTTGTAGTGATGACCATTCTTTCAATTCCCAGAATAAGGCCTAGGAAGTGGCTAGTTGTAGATTATAGTATGGTGAATTGGAGGGGCTATTTCAATAGTATGTTTTGGAACCTGAACTATTGGGATAAGGCAAGTACTTTAGCTGGGGAGGTTGAGAATCCTAGCAAGACCTTCCCCAAGGCTATGTTTGGAGCTGTGGTTTTGGTGGTTTGTTCTTATTTGGTTCCTCTTTTGGCTGGGACTGGTGCGTTGGAGACAGATTCAAGTGAGTGGAGTGATGGGTATTTTGCTGAGGTTGGGGCGTTGATTGGTGGGGCGTGGCTGAAGTGGTGGATTCAAGCGGCTGCTGCTATGTCTAACATGGGGTTGTTTGAGGCTGAAATGAGTAGTGATGCATATCAACTGCTTGGGATGAGTGAGATGGGCATGATTCCTTCTGTGTTTGCTTCAAGGTTGGTGGTTCTGTTTAGTTTCCTTCTCATTGTTCTGTATTGTTTGCAACTTGAGTAGCAATAGTCTTGCCTGATGTACCCACAAATGAGATTTGTAGCTCGAATTGGTAGTAGCGAGTCATATTAGCAATCCTTTGAGGGTGGGAGGTCGAAGGTTTGTATCACCATGGAGGTAAAAACATAGGTAGCTCAAATGGGTCGGGATAACAATGTGTTTTAGTAGTAAGTTGACATTGACATAACTTGTAATAGTTCAAACCCACGGTCAGTAGATATTGTCCTTTTTGAGCTTTCCCTTTCATGCATCCTCTCAAAGTTTTTAAAACGTGTCTATTAGGGAGAGGTTTCTACACCCTTATAAAGAGTGCTTCGTTCTCCTTTCCAATTGATGTGGGATCTCACCTGATGTACCCACAAATGAGATTTGTAGCTCGAATCAGTGGTAGTGAGTCATAATAGCAATCCTTTGAGGGGGGAGGTCGAAGGTTTATATCACCATGGACGTAAAACCATAGGTAGCTCAAATGGGTTGGGATAATAATATGCATTTTATTAGTAAGTTGACATTGACATAACTTGTAACAGTCCAAGCCCACTGCTAGCAGATATTGTCCTCTTTGGGTTTCACTTTCGAGCTTCCCCTCATTGTTTTTAAAACGCGTTTGCTAGAGAAAGGTTTCCACACCCTTATAAAAAAATGTTTCGTTCTCCTCTCCAACTGATGTGGGATCTCACAATCCACCTCCTTCGAGGCCTAGCGTCCTCGCTGACACTCGTTCTACTATGGGATCTCCATAACCCCTAAGACTATAAGACTCGTAGGAGTTCTTTAAACTTCCAAGATGAGTTTAGGTAGCTCAAAACTTTATGCCAAACATTTCCAAAACTCCTTTTCTCCTATCATCATACCCAAACGCGAGTGAACTTCCTCCTTAAACTCTTCCAATGTTTTGATCCATTTGATTTACAGGCACATTGTGGATGCAACAGCTGATCTTATTGAACTACTGTCTCTCATTCACTTTGCAGATCAAAATATGGGACACCCACCTTCAGCATTCTGTGCTCTGCCATTGGGGTTATCTTCCTCTCATGGATGAGTTTCCAAGAAATACTCGAGTTTCTCAACTTCCTATACTCCATAGGAATGCTTTTGGAGCTTGCTGCCTTTATAAAACTTAGAATAAAGAAGCCAGACCTCCACAGACCTTATAAAGTTCCCTTGCAAACATTTGGTGCCATAATGCTTTGCTTGCCACCTGCAGCTTTGCTTGTTCTTGTCATGTGTTTAGCTTCTGCACAAACATTCTTAATCAGTGGGGTTATAATTGCTGTAGGGTTTCTTCTATACCCTTCTCTTTCACAAGCGAAGAACAGAGGATGGGTCAAATTTATTTCAGAACAGCAAGGAGATACTCTTCCAGATGTGGAAGACTGCCTGGTCGAGCCGCAACCACGGCAAGAAGTTCTCGATGAGTCAGTGATTCGGCTTCTTTCAGAATCTCCTTCGTCTCCGAATATAGCCAACCAATAACATCCACAGATTCCCCAACTCGGACACAGTCGAAACACATGCAGACCATGCGGTTTCGAAGATCGGGTGCTTGATTGATGGATATTAAGTGTTGCATAGAATACATTGTTGTAAACATATTTATGTACAAATTGTGTTCATGTTCTCTTGAAAGGTTTATACTTGTGCTGATATGTTGTCTGTGAATGCAACACAAAGGGGTTAGTTTTGACTGCATTGTCTATTTAGAAGGCTGCTAGACACGTTTGAACTTGAAAGCTTGAAGTTGAACTACAACTGATATGGAACAATCGTCATCCCAACAAATGGGAAAACAGAACTAGCAAAGTTGGACGACTATAGGATATAATTGATTCTCGTTAGTTCTCGTTGAGAAGCTCATACATTCTTATCTTCCTATATTATCAGAGGCAATAATTTTGACATGAACCTTCTTATACTGTCCAAGCCATGCTGTTTTAGTCTAAGGATCGACGAGCTCGAGCTCAGTTCAGCATCCAAAGTCATATGGTACAAGTCCTTGCAACTCGGGGCCACTCAGCCTGTTGTTTTCATAACTGCAGCAAAGAAGAGAACGTGTACAGACTATAGTTAATCGATCAAGAATCTGTTATCACAGAGAAGGTCAACGAAACATGTCATTCAATTGGACGTGTACTCTAGGATTCCAGGTTAGATTCGTCGTTGTGACAAGCAAGAAAAAAGAGTGGCCATAAATTCCCAAAAACCAAAAATTCAACCAGATAATCAAGAACAACAACAGTGACATATGTAATATGGATACTGTTAGGAGGCAAGACCCTCCACGTATCTGTACAATCGTATAATATTATCTACTTTGGAAATAAGTCTCGTACCAATAGAGATACTGTCCTTCATTTATATGCTTGTGATCTTCTCCTAATTTAGTCAAGGTAGAACTTTAGTTGCATTCCCAACAATCCTCCTCTTGAGGCAAAGACTATCAAGTCTCCCCTCAAACAGTCAATCTATCCATATTCAGGTTAACTCCAAGATCTTTACTAGAGCATATTGCTCAACTACAGATCACACCTTGAATACATCTTTTGAGACTCACCATTTCTTTGTTTGTTCAACGCTCAAGCTGACATAGCTAGGTAGGGAGTAGGCTCCAATATCACTTTTTAAAAACAACAAGCTTCTACATACCAAAGCAAACGTATGATATTGTCTACTTGTTTCTAAAAAACCTCATACCACATTGTCTTTCACTTATATATTCACGTTCTTCCCTAATCTAAGGATGTGAGACTCTGATCACATTCTCAACAGATACTTTAACAAGGGTAATGAGACCGTTCGAGACATTTCAAATACTTCAACAATCCATCACTTGTAGGACACGTAGCAGATACTCAGTATCACAATAGACATGAGTAAGGTACTAGTTATAAGTACTCTAACATACATCAAAACTTCAAGAGTAACATACATCAAAACTTGTTTTATAAGTATATAAACATAAGCTTAGTAACTTTAAATATAAACAAATCTAGATATGCATATGATATATAAATATAAACATCAGTTATCTTAGTTATGAAGTAAGTTTATTCATGAAATATGTTCAGAGAAAATCAGAGAAGAACAAAAATCAAAAGAGCTTGTCACCTTTCCATCGAGAAATCAGCAAAGGGTCCATCGACAGGGATTGTTCCACAGAGATCATTGTTTGAGACATCACTGCAGGAAAAGTTAAAAGACAACCTTAGTTTTCCATAAAATGTAGAGAGAGAACAAGACTAGAGAACGAAGCAATTGTTTCTAAATCAAACGTACAAAATTTTGAGTTTAGAGAGTGATGAAAGTTCCCTTGGAATCGAGCCTGTTAACTTGTTGTTGTTCATCCGTCTGTTTATGCAAATTGGACCCAATTAGATTACATAGTCAGAGAAATGATGTAACAGCCCAATCCCACCGCTAGCAGACATTGTCCGCTTTGGTCCGTTAAGTATCGCCGTTAGCCTCACGGTTTTAAAACGCGTCTACTAGAGAGAGCTTTCAACACCCTTATAAGGAATGCTTCGTTTCCCTCTCTAAATGACGAGGGATCTCACAAATGAACAAAACACTTCATTCATAGTTAGAATTAGAAGGATATGCTTACAGAAATCTAAGTGACTTGAGTTTGGCGAAAGATTTTGGAATCCTTCTTTCAAATTTGTTCTCGTACAAATCCATGCTTACGAGGTTTCTCAAATTACCCATCTCAGTGGGGATTTTTCCACTTATCCCATTCCTGTAGAGCTCCCTGGAAGGCATTGAAAAACAAGACATGTTCTTTTAGCCACAGAATTTCCAACTTATGAAGGACACCATTCCTTATACTCTTCTGTTAGTTTCCGCCAGTTTTACATGCATCTCGAATGATTACAGACACGATAACATGTCAGCTCACAGGAAAATTTATAGGATATCAAACATGGCAAAGCTCAAATACATGAAAAACTATACATATATACAAATTGATGAAGATGTAGAGCAATACAGATATTGAAGATGCTGGAGGTCACCAATTTCAGGCCCCAAAGTCCCAGAAATGTTCGAGTTTCCCAAATCCCTGAAAACACAGAGAAAAGAGGCTCAATTTCAACTATGTTCCATGTTGCAGGCAATCGAAGAAACCCATATAGGAAGAATCTCACAAGCGGATCACATGGTTTTCAGAATCACAGGTAACATGAAACCAAGTGCAAGGATTAACCAGCGTAGGGTCCCAACTCTGCAGCACATTAGTGGGATCAGACAGCCTTCTCCTAAGAGCATGTAGAGCATTTCCTGAAACCAGAAGATCAACCAAACCATGAACAAGAAACTCAAAAACCAACCCCAGAAGTCAAAAGTAAACTAAAAAAAAAATTCAAAGAGGCAAAACATCAAACAGTTCATGGGCATTCAATTCGATTCAAAGTTTACCTTCAGAATTAGTGGAAATTACAGGCAACCCAAGAAGTAAAAAAAAAGTTCAAAGAGGCAAAACATCAAACAGTTCATGGGCATCCATTTGGATTCAAAGTTTACCTTCAGAATTAGAGGAAATTACAGGCAATCCAAGAAGCCAAAAGTAAGTTAAAAAAAAAAAAAAAAGTTCAAAGAGGCAAAACATCAAACGGTTCATAGGCATTCAATTGGATTCAAAGTTTACCTTCAGAATTAGTGGAAATTACAGGCGAAAAAGAGAGACCCACAAGGAGAAAGCAGAGTATGATAAGATCAGAAGCCATATTGCAAGAGAAGAAATCGAAAACAGAGAGATTGAAGAAAACCCAAAAGAGAAATAATGGTAAAAACGATGAAAAAAGATGTAAAAAAAGACTAGACAATGGGATCGATGAGGAATCTGACTCAGAGTGATCGATCAGTCAAGTCAATGGAAAAGAAAAGAGGGAAAAATAGAGAAACCAACCATAAAGAAACTCTTTAAGAGCAGAACAACTTACAGAACAGCAACAGGGAAGAAAGAGAAGAGGGAAGACATTGTTTTAAAACAGTGAGTGTGGAAATGGGTGCTTTGCTTTGATTGGTGGGTTGTTGAGAGACAGCACCGCCGCGTGAATGGTGGTGGTGGGGCGGCGGTGAGGGCCCACCACCGTATACGTAACTAACAGGCTTCTTCTACCCAGGGCGTTGATTTGGGGAATTGTGGATTGAGAACACAACGAAGACGATGGGTTTTGACAGTTAAAAAAGTTTAGGGTCTGAAATGGGCCCCAAGGTGTCCTTTGACTGGTTATGTCCTGATTTGTCCCTCTTTTGTACCTAATCTTTTGATTCTCGAGCAGTATTCTTCGTGTCGGGTCTCTAACGAATAAGAGTGTTTATATGACTTGATAAGCTAAATAACATTTGAACTCCTAACAATCATAAGAATCGAGTTGAATTATTATTATTGTTTTTGTTTGAGTTTTGTTGGATTCTTGACAATTCGAAAATTAGGTTTAGTTCACAAGTTTGACTTTTTTTTATCGAGTCAACCCAACCAACTCGAAAATAGAGCTCACTGCTCAATCCTACCCTACTTTTTAAGACTGTCGTGAAGATTAAAAATATTTGACGTTTGTAATAAATATTAGTGATACATGACTGTGAATATCTGATATTTGAGTTTTATGAGATTTTAGTTATTTATGTAACATGTACGGTAATATACAACGGTTTCACAAACAAATATATATTTGAGTATATATATTAGTACATGTGACGAAACCGTAATATGCATATACACATACATATATATGTGTATGTATGTATATATATATAGATATACTTTTGGGTTATTTTGATGACAAAAAAAAAAATACATTAAACCCGACAACTCGAACCGACCCAACTTAAAATATAAAAGTTAAGTTGGGTTGGATTTGGGTTGGTTTAATTTTTCTGAACTCGAATAGTTTCGGTTCAAGTTTCAGGTTCATTAGGCAAAACTTCAGGTTGAACTGAACCGAACAAAAATTTATAATATACATTAACATGTTATAAGTATTCGTAGATCTGGCTCGGTTGGGTTAGGTTGGGTTACTAATTCAACCAACCCGAACTTCTGTCTAAAAAACTTTCTCAACTCAACTCGTGTACACCCATAATACAAAGGCATCCACCGATGATGACATTAAATCAAAGCTTTCGAGCCACACGTTGCAAGAACGCATTCCATTCCCTTTTTGAAAATTTTGTTCCCAAAAAAAGAAGCAACCCTTTAAATTTTCACTGTTCTTGTTAATGGGTTTAGCTTTGATTTTGAAAAATAAACTTGTTTTCGTTGGATTTGGGCAAAAGATTGTTATTCACATGAACAATCCCTTATAAATTGGATTTTCCCGGAAAGAAAATTCAAGCTGTTTGGCTTTGGATTTTCCCGGAAAATTGCCTCATTTTCTCCCTCATAAGCATGGCAAGAACTTGCATGGCTATGCAGGCAAAAGCATTGTTTCTTAGGTAAATTAATGTTCCCTTTTGACGTTTTTTTGTGTTCAAATAGTTCAACGACCCGTAGAGCCGGTAGATTCAAACTTTTAACCCGTTGATCGCTCGTGTGTCGTGTTTGAGTTTAAACTATAATTTAGTGTTTTTTTTCACTGGCTTACGAAAAAGTCTATAAGATCGTTTGATTCCGTGAATTGGAGTCGGGAACTGGTAGCTATGTTGTT